TGTAAGGGATGGGCTGTTGGGAGGGCCGCACGTGTGGACACACCGTCGGGTCAGACACAACACCAACACTGCCTCAAGAGGTGGAGAGAGTGAAAGTGAGATAACATGGCTTCACAACTGCCGTACACTCCCTATCACTACACATACCAGCGCTCTATCGCTCATAGAGACAGAGCTAACGGTGCTATCGATCACTGCATTACAGCATTACTACAGCACTGATAGCACTGTTGGCTCACAATTATGTCACTCATAGGGAGGATTGGCTACCAGTGCTCTCATCCTCACCATCGCATTCCCAACACATGGCATATCACACAACACTTCCACTTATCCTTCATCTCATCACTCATTCATCACTTCTTAACCCTTCCTCTCAGTCACACACAGTCACCCAAACGGACCAACTCTTGCACCTCATTCTCTGGCCAGGGATTTACCGACAAAAAACACGTCAAACAATGCTTTACCTGATTATCGGTGACCACAAACTCGTCGATGGATTGGTTTCCATTAGTTGTGGCACTCATTCCTCACCAGAAGTCACGACACAAACACGCGATTCAAACGCAACACAAACTCAGGCCTCAAAACAGCGACAAAACGTTTCAAAGCAATCAATGGATTCACTCTTTCAATGCTTTTCGCAATTAAAACCAATTTTGAATACAAAACAAAACAAAAACAAAAGTTAATAACAATTAAAACTTCAAATCCATATCAATTTCATGTTGTAATCATAATGTGTTTGTGAGGTATGTTTCAGTCTATGTCTCCACCCGTCGACTGTTGGCCCACAAAGAGGTTGACTGTAGGGCTGAACGCACTCTACGCCCCATCACTACCACTCTCTGCACTCCCATTCACTCCTACGCCAGCATATAGTGCCACACATTTTGCCACTCTTTCAGACACAACCCGAACCCACACTCAATGCCCACTCAATTCACTCGCAATTGTCTGTTAATTGTCATCAAATGTATGCCTTAATTAGTGCCCAAATGAGCCGCTCTTAACCATTTCATCAATGAATGAGCGAATGTAAGTATGCATTGAAATGGCATTTATAGCGCAATAATACACACTTTGGTTGGCTTTCAAAGACATGTCTAAAGCATCCAAACAAAGACTACATTTTTATTTGACTCGTATTTCAATCCGAGTTTCACTCAAACTATTTGTCCAATACTTTTCAATTCAATATTTGATTGCATTATAAATGTTAATACAATTTACAAATGAAATTGTTTTCAATAAAAAAAAGTATTCATAAAAAGTATTCATTTAAATATGATTTGAGAGTTTGATATAGAAATGAAGGACAGGTTTAGTGCAGAAAGCATTGCATGAATGGTAGGAGAAGTGAGTGTTTAGTCAATGGATTGGTTGAGTCTGTGTTGAGGTCTGGGAAGGAGAGGGAAGACGTGGCGGTCAGTGCTGTACAGAGTGTACAGCTCTGGGAGTCTATGAGTGTATGGGTTTGGTTGTGTCGGCGCGTGAATAGTGGGCACAAGTGTTGCCGCCATTTGGGCTCAACCTCTGAGATGTGGAGGCGTTTCGCCACTTATTATCATATATTGCATACAATTGTCGGGACTGT